ATACATGGACGATTTCAGCTATTTTACTTGTGTGCGTGTGCATCGGTATTTGATTTCGAGTCGAAGAACCTCTTCAATTTGTTAAAAATAAAAAAGAGAAACGTAATGCTCGAAGTATTTATTAATAGTTCTAACAGTCGGAGCCAAAGAAATGATTAAACTACAGCACGGTAGGCAAACCGCACTGAGTCCGTCGGAAAGTGAGCGTTGCACGCGTAGAAATCGCTGTTTGGTGATTGCACTGGTTGCTTCAATGAGCTCTTTGTTCTCTGTCCTGGCTTGAGGCTGCGGGATGCTTTGTCTTGGAGAAACTTGTCTTGAAAACATAGGACTTAAGAGCGAGACCGGGCCGCAGGGGGCCCGATAAAAAACTTCCATATAGATTAGAGGCGAATCGAAAAGGGTGCAGCAACCTAGAGAAAAAGTGAGCCCCGGCTGGACATGTTTTGCAAACTGGATTTTTTTCGAGTATGGCACTGATGATTACCATCTTTCATAATATACTAATACCGTGCCGAATGTGAACTACAGTTTAGTTATGAATGGGAGTTGTGGGATATTCGAAGGAATATTATATACGTTTAGACGATTGATGAAGACGTATTCAGGGTCTGGTTCAGTCATGTACGGCGGATGTAAGGTTTAAAATAATAAAAGCAGTTGTACAAGCACTCGTTACTTCATGATAGTGCGTTTTTTATATTACGTTTTGTCGGAGGCAGAAGTTTTGGAGGGAGGGGGGGGGGGGGGATAAACTTGCTCTGCACAGACTTTGTTCAATACACATGAACTGACATCGTCGGACGCCAACAAACGGGAGTTTCGTTTGTTTGACAAATTGTATGGCATCTATCCGGATATATACGTGGTATTGAAGACGCTTATTTAATTTATAGGTCTAAATATTTTTCCAGAAGTCTGTATCGTAAAAAAAAATCGCTAAGAAGAAATCAACAAAATGCACCGACTGAAGAGCAGGTGGAGGCTAAGACGGCGCTCAGCTAAGCTACAGCTCCTTTAGCCGTTCGGAATGTTGACTCATTTCATGCTGCAAGAGCGGACCGCGACAGGAATCGCAACCACAAGACACTTTGTCGGACAAGCTTGAGATGTGTTCACCATCCCAATTTACTGTTCGCTCGTAAAGGCTTTCCATTCTGTTCAACGAGTCTAAGGAGAATATGTGGGCTTTCAGGCTGCCAAACGACGAGCGCGAGGCACACTCGACAAATCCTAACAACACCGTTATTACTTATATTTACTTATCTCTATTTGAAATACATCCGGTTATCGCTGATAGTCTTGTTGACTTAGCTCCGTTGTGTTGTGGAGACACTTCCGATTTATCAACGATGA